AGCCAAGACTGCCAGGAATGCTAGAAACCTAGAAACAAAGTAGGACACCCCAGATAGGGCTGCTACAGCTGCAGTTGCTGTGGTGGTAAAAAGTTCATGTAAAGTGGCATGCATGCCCGTCACAGGCAAGGACCAGAGGAGAAGGCCCATTGCAGTAGAGAATGCACTCATCTCATTGTCCTTAGTGGCGAACTGCTCATATTATGTCTGGGTGTAAAGGATTCGCACTTAAAGTTGCCCTAAATACAGCTATGATGACTGGGCGTTCCATTCGGGCGAACACGGTAGTGAAACATTCACTTGTGGTGTTGCTGGCATAGGCAGTGTGTCTGCAATCAAGAATTACTGTGCTTGCAGTCAAACATTGGGGAAGAGGACATTCCTGTGGACAGTCTTTGCTGTTGTGCACTAGAAGTAGACTCACATTTTTCCTTCTGTTCGGCTGAAGGACCCTTGACCAGCATTGATTGCTGCAGGTGCGTGGACTGTCAGCTTGCTGGTGGAATAAGAAGCGGACTGATGCTCCCCATAGACCAGCATTGATTGCTGCAGGTGCGTGGACTGTCAGCTTGCCGGTGGAATAAGAAGCGGACTGATGCTCCCCAGAATGGATATGGAGCCAGGCCCATAAGGGCCTGTTTTGATTGAAAAAAAACAGAAAAACGGTAGACTCACATTCTATTACGCAGAACAACTTGTTATCAGTACGCAGCTCATGGCCTCAACCATAGCGTCATCATTCCACAATTCTCCAGTGCTCACAAACTTGGACGAGAACCCTGACGTGACGACGTTTCTAAAGCATACAGGCTAGAATGTGGGGGAGATGTTGAAGGCTCTCTTGCTCTGGCAAGCAATATTATTATGTATCTTAAAGACCCAGGATGTCAGCAAAACCTGCTGGTGAAAAGCAGGGCTGCGCTTTTGGATGTGGTGGCCTGCCTGTGGGCATTTCAATTCATTCAGAGGTCCGCAGAGGTCTGCAGAAGGGTGCGCCATGCTAGCGGTTTTTCATTGCAGTCTGCAGTGCGTCAAACATAAAACTTCTTCTGCAGCGTAGTTATTGCCTTCTGGGCTTGCCAAGCCAAATCATTATCGCCATCCTGAGGATGGCCAGCACCGGTTGGAAATGCGCATTGTGGTATGAGGTTGCGGGTTCAAGACGCAATTGCAGCCTTGCACATGGACACCGGCAGGGCGTTAGAGTGATGCACGGCTGGACACACACCCCCTTGGGCTGATGCACGGTAAGCTTATACAGACACTGCCTGCGCACCACCCAAGGGTTGTCCATGGTTTTGTATGTCGGGTCTTGATACTGCGTGGGTTGCTTGCGGCTGTTGCTCGTGGTTGTTCTGTTGATCTCCCCAGTCTAGCATATCATACACAGGGGCCGTTTGCGATTGTCGCTCAAATGGTAGAGTCTTCAGGTCACATGTCATAGATCACGGGTTTGAGTCTGGCTTGGGACTTTGGGAGGGGTTCTTGTCCAGCTTGGCCTGTTATCTCTTCAAACGAACTCATAGTTCCCTTTACATAGTACTGCACATATCTGGCCTTCGGGCACATACATCTCGCCATGCAGTTACACAGAGCACACATAGCCTTCGGGCAGACACAAAAAGCATGGCCCTATGGGCTCACACAAACATACGTAGCCTCTGGCCCCACACACATACACACAATTACGATACTGGGCTGGGGGGTTCTATCAGGTATATGACGGGGTCTACTCACGCATGGCTTAGCTCTAGGGTAGGGTAGGGATATAAGTCGCTCCGGCTAGTCTGAGTTCCGCCTAGCCTTGGGAAAGCTAGGGGAAGGATGGTAGGATGTGTCTGCGGGCGCTGGCTTGCCTTGCTTAGGTAATCCTGCTGGGTAGACTCTCTGAATTGGGCCTGTAGAAGATTTCATGAGCCTGGTGTCTGAAGTTCCCGTACGGCAAGGTTCGTCCACTTCCGCTTCCATTAGGGCTGGGAGGTTGGCCCAGCCTTGGTGCTTGTCACTGCTGTCTGGTCCAAGTTGCCCTCGATACTGGTAGGGTGATGGTCCTGAGTGCTGGTCACACTGAGGTAGGATAGCAGGGACAGGGGGTGTGCTGGGAGTATTAACATGGGGATGGGTAGGGCAGGTGGTCTATCCTGTCAGGACAACCATTGGCTGCCGCTACCAGCAATCACCGTGGGTCTGGTCCTTGGCCTCTACGACACCCTGGGCTTAAAAAAGGATGGCCTTCTATATCATCAACTTGGCATGCAATTGTCAAGAAGCCAGATGTCTATACAGATGGCTACAATGTTAGGCCTGCGGATACATGTTTGTTGCAGAGTCCGCAGAGATTATGGTGCGACCTCATACCCACTGTTTCGGATTCTAAGTGTGTCTGTTACGGGCCCAGCCAGGGCTCGATCCCTGGTCCGCGGGGTACCACCCGCCAGGCTGCTATTCTATTTTTTTTGGAGTTTCTGATCTCCGGTTCCTGACTGTTGGCGCCCTCTGCAGTTGGCGCCCGTTCTCAAATCCCACCTCTGCCACTTTCGGATTTCGTACTTGGCGCCATCCGGCATTCTGGCGCTCAGGCTCAGATCTTCGATTTTCAGTTCAGCCCCGAGGCAAATTGCACTTTTGCCCTCGGACTCAACTCGAGTCCGGTACTTAAGACCGGACTCAAGCTGAGTTCGGGGACTCAGTTTTCAGCCTCAGTGCTTGTGCTTCAGTGTGACTTGCTGCGACATTGTGTACGGAACCAAGCTTGCGACTTTGCGACTTTGCCACTTTGTAATCGTGTCCGTCGAGTCGTGTCGAGTCCGTGTAGAGTTGAGTGAGTGTGTGTGTGTGTGTGCTCTCACTCCCTCCCTCTCTCTGTCCCGACCTCGCTGCTCTGCCTCAGCCCCGTCACAATGTCTTTCTTCTCATGTGCTGGGGTGCTTTGTAACTCTGTCCCATGGAATGCCGGACTGATCTTGTTGGGTTGGCAATTTCGCATCCAATACATCTGGCCTGGGGGTTCTGGCTCTTAGACTGGTACTTGGAGGAACCTCTCTGATCCACTTTCTCTGCCTAATTAGGCTGGGACACTGACCTCTAGATGACCACTTCATCCCGTCTGGCCTGAGGGCAGTGCGTCTAGTGCTGTTAACTGCGTTTTCGTTAAAATTGAGTTTTTTTCCGTTTTGCAATTCGTACTGGAGTGAGCTGAAGAGGTCATTTGGCTTGTCCGATGAGGGCCATATTTTGGGATGAGTGGTGGTCTCATGGATGATCATCCCGAAAAATAGCCCTTACCAGATAGGCCAATTGACCTCTTCAGGTCATTCAAGTACAAATTGCGAAATGGAAAAAAAAAAACTTTACAATAAAAATCAATTTTAACGAAAACACTTCTGTCATCTGTCAACTGCTTTCTGATCTCTGTCTTCCTGAACTCCATGATTTGCTTCCTGTGCAATCAGACTCGCTGTCTTTTCTGCTTCACATACATGCAAACAGATGGTGATTCACACTGGCGCACAGCGCCCACTCAAAACTCAGAGATATGGAACTCCAGAACACAGTTCAGGCGCAAACTTGCTTCAACAGGCTATGGCGCTTCAGCGCCTGTACAACCCAACTCTCGTTATGGTATCCAACACCACTGTTCGCACACACTCAACTCTGGATCACCCTGAATACGCCCCGCCCAAACACACACACTTGCGTCTCTCTCCTAACTACAGCGGCTATGGCCGCTTCACCATTAACTATGGCTATACTGACTTCTTCCAGCCCTCTTCGACCTCAGGCGCTCTGCAGACCACCTCGCACAAGTCGCTTGAGACAGCGCTTCCGCATGGCTTACGCAGCGAATGAATGAGTCCCTGGACGCTGCCGCTTGATTTATACTTCTGTTGGTCGCTGGTCTGCCTCTTTCCTCCAGGCCCTCGGTGCACACAGTCCCACACGGTACTTGCTTGACTGGACTGCAACTGACTGGACCGGTACCGCTAACTGCACTGCGTTGGAGTTGCACTGCCTACTCGACACAGCTGGACCTACGACTTACCTACAGACCTCTAGCCTAGCAGTTTCGACCTCTGCACATCTGTAACCCTACTCGACACAGCTGGACCTACGACTTACCTACAGATCTCTAGCCTAGCAGTTTCGACCTCTGCACATCTGTAACCCCTACTTGACAGATCTATAGATCAAACCCCTACGACTACAGGGACCTATGACAAGGTACAGTCACTACCAAAACACAGGTCGTGGGTTCAAAACACACAGGGTTCTACTCGATACTGTACACGGGTGCAGGTAACGTCTAGGGATCGAACCCTGGGATCGGCATCTGCCTCTGCAAAGGTGAAAACCGTTTCACCTGCACTGTGTCTTCCTGAAACCCCTGATTCATCCAAGTCCCAGACTTTCACCCTTTCTCCTGGGTGCAAATTGACAACCCTTTCTTTAGGCATTGGCTTATATGTCACTGGATGTCCTGCTGCTCTCCCTCCTATTCACTTTTGTCTTCTTGAATCGCGGATACCAAACAACTTGGATAACTTTCCCTTATCCTGTTGCCTCCGACCAACTCCTCCAGAATGCCTCTTCTGGATCCGCTTTAATGGCATGTCATCATCGTCCATCCAAATCGCATCCCAATCTCCATGAATGCTGCAGTGAGGGCCTATGCATGCTCAATGTCTCCTTCAAAATTACAAGCAGTTAGCGTGCCGAAAGAGCACAGGTGGGCGCAACAATATTTTCGGGCTTTGCCATTTCTTGCAATAGGATTGAAGAATTTGAAGGATCAAGTTGCACTTGACTTCTTTGGAAATGTATCTGGCTTTCACAATGTCACGGTGTCATGTATAATTCTCTGGAATCTCTGCCAATTGTGCCAAATGAATAAGCTACATCATTGTTTGTGACGGCCATGTGTTGGAGGTTGAGAAACAGGAACCTGATAACTCCCATAGCCACATGACATTTGGGTCCTCCATGGGCATCTCCTTGTGCAGGCAAGATAGCTGTTGTGGGAGGTTGCAGGGAATACACCGGGGCTCCATATTTTGCAGCAATATCTGCACTAAAGCTCGTATGCTCTTTTTTCCAACCTCACCCTGAAGAACCTCTCCTGCTTCCCCAATCAATACGCCCACCTAAGATCATATGAGCTTTTCTCTAACCTCACTCTCAATCCCTTTATTTGTTTCCCCCTCCCTTTGTTCTTTGTTTGTAAGCATGTCATACCAAGAAGATGCTCGGTTATCGATCATTGTATGTCATTGAGCTGTTTGGTTGGTAATATCCATATCATTACGTTTTCTTCCCTTTCTATTTTGTGTTTCTATTGCATGCATTTCACTTTGTTGAATGTTGAGGTGTGTGTGGTTCACAACGTTATCTCACTGACTCCTGTGCACTTCAGTTCATGTTTCAATCAATTCCGTGCACTTTCAGTTTATGTTTCAATCACCTTTGTGTGCTCCAGTTTACGTATTGAATCAACTCCGCATGCTTCAGTTTATGTTCCAATTGATTCTGTGCGCTTCAGTTTATGCTTCAATCGACTCTATGCAGCTCAGTATATGTGCTGGTGAATCTGTGCTGTGTTAAGCTCAATTGGACTGTTCTTTTTCCATTGGCATGCATTTGGGATGAAGAGTATGGGATAAAGCTCCATATTGTGACAATGTACACGAGCACGCGATGGGGATGCTGGGAATACTTTTCAGAAGCCTTTCTGCAGTTGTGTGCTGCCACATGTGTGAAGAGGGCTGCCTTCCTGTTAGCATTCTTTCTTTTGTATCATTGTTACGTGAGAGATGATGGTCCACTGGATGATTCATGAGGCGTATCGGCTCGGAAGAAGCAAATTCTAGAACGTTTCGTTGCCCGGTACTAAATACGGCTGGATAGCTCTTGTCAAGTTGTCACTCACATCTATTGCATCAAGTTTTGCCAGATAGTTGTTGTTGTTCACAGTCATCACTGGCAAAGGTTACATTCTCTTGGAGTCTATAACTTGCTGTGTGGCTGATTGGGAACTGAGGTATGTGGACCCACATGCATTATGTGAAACTTGCACATTGACAGAGTTAAACTACCATTACATCCGAAGAAGGAGATCGAGCCTCTCCTAAAAAAAAAGGAAGCCATGAACTGCCGATTCATTTTATCGATGGTCCGTGGCCTCCTTGGAGAGGCTCAATCTGCTTTTTCGGATGTACTGGTGGTTGTACTGGTGGTTTAACCACCAGTACATCCGAACGAGGAGATTGAGCCTCGCCTAAAAAATAGGAGGCCATGAACCGCCGACTCATTTTATCAACAGCCCATGGCCTCCGAAGTTTTAGGAGAGGCTCAATCTGCTTTTTTCAAGTTTTTTGGGTGTACTGGTGGTTTAAACCACTTTGCCTTTTCTGATGGCCCTGGTTACCAGGAGGCCTTCCCTGTTCCAGCTGGGCCACTGTGTCCCCCACTCCCTCTCGTCTGGAGGAGTTGACCTGATTTCACAGGAGGTGGTGGTGGTTTAAATGCTGCGAGAGAATTCTTGTCGTTCACATTTGTTAACGGGAGGTTCCATCACTAAGTATTTTGCTGTTGGGGTGAATAGCGAACTCTGCATGTGCCAGAGTGTGGAAATTGCAAGTACTGCGGACCTTGCTGTCATGCTGATTTTGTCGGGATCCGAACTCACAATCTGTTTACTAATACGCACATGTGTGTACCATTCAGCCACATGGGCTGGGTGTTAGCCAGTGTATTTTCAGTTTTGTAATCAAATGGTGCCATCAAATGTTCCGGAGACATACCGGTCCGAAGGATGTTTCTTCCTCCTCCTCCTCCTCCTCCCTCTTTGTTAGTGTTTGTTGTTCTTGTCGTTGCTTCTGCTGCTGTCATTTTTATTGTTGTTTGCTGTGGTCATTTGTCGTTGTCTTGTTCTTGCCGTTATTATTTTGTTGTATTTGTTTTTTGTGCTGGTGCCATGTTGTTGATGTGCTTCTTGTTGTTGCTGCTGCTGCTTCTGTCTTTTTTTTTCTTTTGTTGCTGCTGTCATTTTTCATCGTGTTGTTGTTTTGTTGTTTTCATTTTTTGTGGTTCTTTGCTCAACTTTGTTGTTGTCAGTTGTCATATTCCATTTCGTTGTTGCATACATCTTTCTCGAGGAAAAAACTGGAAATGGGAAATGTTGGAAATAAAGTTGAACGGCAAATATTGCTGTGTCAAAGGTTGTGCCTGAAGTTACAGGGTCCTTGGTCTTTTGTATAGCTAGATTCAGCTGGCGGGATGCCACTAACGTGGCTTTGCTTTTTTCAGCCACTGCCTGCCCCTGAAACATATCTCACCTCCTTGGCCTCATGCTTGGCTACCAGTGTAGGTTCAGGTGTTAGGCTGTCAGTATAAGTTTGCTAGATTTGCTAGACTTTCAGTGTAGGGGCAGAGTGATTTATTGGGGCTGTCATAAATATGTGGAGAAGGGACACTGTCTGATTAGATTGGCTGGATGTCTATCAGGGAGCTGACCTTTCACATGTCTTCTGTACCAAAGATGCGGGACCGGTGATTAAGAGCTACAGTCCAGAGCTGATTGTGCACCCTGTACTGAAGGAATCGTACGATGCCAAGTAAGCAATAGCAATCTGTGTGACCTTGCGTCCATGCTGAACCCTTGCTTTTCTCCTTGCAGGCACCTGTCAAGTAGATAATAAGGGAAAGCACCCCTCTCACCTTCCTCGCCTCCTGCTCTCTTGATTTCGGTGTTCTGCTGGCTCTTGTCTTGTGCGCTCTTGTCCGTATGCGCTTCACTATTGACCAGTTGCTGTTAGGATGAATTGCCAAATGGAGCTGCCCTCTTCCCCCAAGCACAAGGCACCCGGATCATGAAATTATACAAGTGATCTTTGTGTCGTGATACAACCATAATCGGGGTGCGTTGTATTGGGGGAAACACAGTAGGAGGATAATAAACCCCTGCCCTGGGATGGTGCAGGGTTCGATGAAGTTCACCCTCAATGCAGCAGTCGATTCATGTGCCAGTGGACTCATTGGGGGAAGGATGTAACTAAAGATTGAACATTTGAAGTGGAATAATGGGGAGAATCTCCTAGATAGTGCATGTTTCGTAATATTTGTGACTTTTTTGAAGTCAGTCAAACGACTGTCGCCAATATCCCCCATCCTGTGTCATGTTCATAGTATTCCCGGCATCAAGAGATTTTCCCAGAAGCTTTGTCTTCTTTTTTCGTTTTTTTTTCAAATTTAATAGCATTTCCCAGAAGCTTTCTCTTTCCTTTTTAAGACTGAGCTGGATTCAATTGCATGGATGGCCATTTCGCTTGGCTTGTCACTGAAATACAACCAAGGGAGAGTGGCAAATGAAATATGCTGAAGGGAATTCAGCAGACAGATGGAAGACAGCATGTATGATTACAGAATGTAAAGTGGGAACGGAACAAAAAAAAAATCAATTACAAAGCCGGGAAACGAGCCCGGTGAACCTCACATGAATGCTGCAGCCGAACTGGGCTGGGAAAGGCACTCCCGGCCAATCTCCTCCCCAACTACGGTCCTCCCACAATGAAGGCGCCTGTCTGAGCCCGTCTCTCATAAAACCCAAGTTGTGAAAAGGACAAAAAGTTGTCAAAAGTTGCCCAAACATTGCCAATCCTATCCAATATTTACACTACAGCTGCACAGAAACTGAGACTAATATGAGGGCAATATCTAGTACTATATCTACAACAATGACCAGACATCAGCTACAAAATTGTCTTTGCAATGTAAGGTGATGTATCTGTCGAAGTGTGAACCCAAATTATGTAATACCCTCAAAATATTCACCACTACAAAAAGAAACATGAAAAGCGCAAGCATGGAGGGGTAACAGCGGACAGGGTGACTGTAAGCAGTCCTGCAAAAGTTCCCCATCTAATGTCAAACCAGTTGAAACCACTTCATTGTTTTTGCTGCAAAACCATTTTTTTTAACATGGAGTTCCCAATCTGCCAAAATTGCAGCCTTTATATTGTATTTAACTTCCTCCCTGACCATCGGGGGTGTCAACTGTTCCCCCCTTCGGACTGCTGGGTTTTGAATGTTCCACAATGTCCAAACAATAGCTCCCCGAATTGTTTCTTCTGCGTGTGACATTTGCACAGAAAGCGGCTGCCTTCTGGCTGCTGCCCCCAGAAGCACAAAGTGATTGTCCCATCGAGAGGAGCCCCCTGGAACAGGAACATTTGAGTGCCTCCACCATTCGCATAACAGCAAGAAGTGTTGAATATCTTCCATACGTGTTCCCGAGCATATCTTACATACCAGGACTGCTTTTTGAGTTCTGTGTGCACACCATGTGGCCACCGGTGACTCCAAGTGCATTAACAGCCAGAGAAGACGTGCTTGCTTGCTGATAGTCGCATCCATCCACTGTTTCCAAAACGCTGAAAGTGCTTGGGATAGCCTTTTCAGAGAATCTGCAATCCAACCGGTCACCATCCATCTTCTGCCACCAGCCAGTTAACATCTACTTGTGCCTTCCCCATCTGATACCCGAGTTTTATAGTATACTCGTGTAGATAAACCAGGTGGTCAGCGCGCTTGGGGTGGTCCCAAGCCCAATCTCTGGGCTCCACTGGCAAGTCGTGTGATGGAGTCTGCAAACAAAAGGGTCTATAACATACTTGCAACCGCACGAGCTGCACATTCGTGCGGAGTTCCGTGCGGGGGGTGCTTGTGCGGAATTGTGCAGTTTTTTTTCCTTTATTATTATTATTTATTCATTTTTTGGGGATGGGGGACGGGGGGGCGTATGACAGGAAGATGGGGATATAGTGAGAGGAGGGGGATATGGAGAGGAGGAGGATGTGGATGAGGAGGATGACGAGGATAGCAAGGACGAGGAGGAGGAGGAGAAGTAGAGATGGGGGAGGAGAAGAGATGGACGGAGGGAAAAGAGGAAGGGCAGGAGGAGGACGAGTGGGAGGAGGAGATATGGACGGCGAGGAAGGGGAGGACAAGAGGAAGGGAAGGCGACGAGGAGGCATGGAAGATGAGGTAGTACAAGGAGGAGACTAGGAGGATGAGGAAGGGCAGGAGGAGGACGAACAGGAGGAGGACGAGTCGGAGGAGACGAAAAGGAGGAGGGAGGAGGAGACATGGAGGACGAGGAAGGGGAGGAGGAGCGAGGTGATTCAGCAACCCTGCAATTTTTTTTTTCATCCCAATTATAACTTTGGCGGGGGGCCTCGAACGCACCGTTTCGACCCCCAGCCTTGTTTTTTTTTTTGGGGAGGGGGGTGATGGGTCGTTCCCCGCAGGGGATCGGTTGGGCGCGTGGGCCGCATGCCGGGAACCGCCCGCACGACGTGCGCTTGCAAGTATGGTCTATAACTGTCTTGTAGTTCAATGACACAGAAGAATTTCAATGTCACCCTGAGGCAACAGAGGGGAGGAAGTCATAGCGACTGACACTGCACATTGCACACTAATCATAAGAAGAAACAACTATACACATCCCAAATCCCGGCCCCGCGAGGGGAGGCATGGACAAGGGACCTGGAGGAGTTCCTATCGCCCATGCATAGGCACCTATCTCCACAACAGCGAGATCATTTGGAGAGACCCTTGACAAAGGACGAAATATGGACAACACTTCTCCACATGAAGGAAGAGAAAACACCCGGCATTGACAGCTTCCCCAAAGAATTTTGGGAAACTATGTGGACGGAGATGAGCTCAGACCTGTGGGAGTTCTACCAGAGGATATAGGAGGACGGTGAAATGGGGGAAGTGGTGGGGAAAATGGCGCTGTAATTACTTCATAAAAAAGGGGATAAGATGAACATCAGGAACTATAAACCCATTACCCTCCGCAAGGTAGTCTACAAAATACTCTCCAAAGCCTTGGCGAATCGTATGGCGGAGGTCCTGGAGGACGTAATACACCCAGCCCAGACAGGGTTCATGTCCGGTAGGAACATACAAGAGAACATCCCATTGGTAAACGATCTGGTCAGTCTGACACGTAGGAATCGGGCAAACGCTGCCGTTATTTTCATCGCCTTTGAAAAAGCCTACGATCATGTTGACCGGGATTTTTGGATAAGCATTTGGGCAAAATGACTTTTGGCCCGACGCTCAGGCGATGGGTGAGAATCCTACATAATAATGCTACTACTTGTGTTCAGGTTAACGGATCAGTGACACCACCCTTTGAGCTCCAGCGGTCGGTCAGGCAAGGAGACCCCATTGCCCCCTACCTCTTTCTGGTCATAATGGAGGCACTATCCGCTAACCTGAGACACAACAAGGACCTCACCCGGATCAGGATCGCCAACATCTCGGAGGAAGCAGTGCCGGTCTGCTCCCTGTTTGCAGATGACCTCACCATTATGGTGGATGCAAAAGCAGAAAACATGGAAGAAATCTAGGCCCTCATGAACCACTTCTGCAGAGTCTTAGACATGGCCGTTAACTGGGGGCAAAAAAACGTAGGCTGGCGGCTGCACCACTAGGGGGTAAGGCCCCCTGAGAACTCGTGAACCCATACCATCAGTCGAGTAGCATGGGAATCAGTGATCCAGCCCAAGGCTGGAGGAGGGCTTGGAATTGTGGACCCCTCCACGCAGTTTCAGGCCCTCAGCCTTCGCTGGTTCCAACATCTCATCTTTGCACCATCCTCCCCATGGGTTCCCCTTGCTTTGGCACAGATCGCGGCCCTGGCCCCGGAGGCTCCACTGGAGATTGACTCTCTGGTATGGCTCGAGGACAGGTATGGGAGACTACCCAGGAAATACAGGAATGGTGACCCAGCGGACAAGCATTGGTTACATCTCCTACGAAAATGGAGACAACTCCCAATCCCCGACCGTTTGCTGCCGGAAAGGTGGGAGGAAGTGTTTAGGCAACCCTTATTTGGTAACAGGCTAATCACGAACTCCCTCGACCGGGTGAGATGTAGCTCAGACCCCCCATGGAGGGGTTGGTGAAGCAATGGGTCCGGAGGGTGGGGGACCTCTGGGATGTGGCAGCCGGGGAATGGAAGAGTGCGAAAAGAATGCGAGGATGCCTGCGGTATTGCCACCTAACAGAGACAGCAATGGAAGAACTCATTGAAAGCTTTCCCCTTCAATGGTACAACACTCTTAGAAAGGGCCCTCGCTCAGAAGAAGGGGACTGGGTAGGACTACTCGGCCATGGAACACAAGTAGGCCGTGTGCACATGGTAGACCAAGCGCAAGTGCTGATCAAATGTTTTTCCGCCACGGGAAAGGGCCAGCTACGAGGGAGCCGACAACCTTTTATTTGGAAAGAGAGAACAGAGGTCTATCTCATTAGAGTGTTAGAAGAGGAGAGGGGTTGGATGGCTTATCGGCCAATGACCCCGATTGAGGACCTCCCGTTCGATCCCAATGAGTGGCGATGGTCGTGGATGGCAAGACAACGTTGAAAAGGGGGGGGAAGGCAAGACCGGTAGCGCCAGCCACCCTAAAGACTAAGACAGTATACCGAATGCTCAGACCAAGGCGCAGGCTGAAAGATGTGGTAGAAGACAGATGGCAACGCCATCTCAACATAGACAGAGGCCTGCTCAAGCCCATCCAGTGGTTCAGAGAATATAGAAAGAGGCCGGCCAAAATTTCTGCTCTGTGGTGGCAAATTGCCCACCGGTGCCTGCTGACCAACAACTGGCTGATTGACCGCACGCAGTTGGAACAGCAGGGAAGGGCGCTTCCTTGGTGCCGAAGATGCCTCCAGAACTTCCCAGGGTAAAAGTGCCTTGAGACAGTGGAACACATCTTCCTGCAGTGCCCCGCAGCTGTATTACTGTGGCGATGGTGGGACAGGATTTGGCGGCATATTGTACTGGGCTCGTTGTGGCCATGGGAGTGGAGGGCCATACTATTGGGACACTGGCCCCAATTTCGAGGAAGCACTTCTGAGGAGAACATGTACTGCCTGGGTAGGCGTTCCATCCTGTGGGTAATATGGTGGAGAAGATGCATTCTGGAATTGGAGGGGGCCAGGGTGGAAGATGGGGAAGTCACGGAGCAACTACGGCTACTAGTACGGCACGAGATCACGGCCCAATGGCAGGCTGTCAAGGAAAAACTGAGCCTGGCACACGCCAGGGTGGACATTGACAGAATGATCTCCCGGTTTTGCGAGGAATGGCTGGGAGGGAAACGGGGGGCTGGGTGGCAAAAGTGAGCTGGACATGAGACAGGCAGGATCAGCGACAGGCCCTGTGACAGGAACATCAACCAGAGCATCAACGGGAAGAGGGGACGGGGTCGCGAAGGGTAGAGTTGGAAAGGGATTATTCACTGCATTTCCATGAATGGACAAGGGTGGGCCCCAGGGAACTGTTACGACCTGCTTAGGAATTCACTGATCCCTTTCCCCCCCATCCGCTGGCCCTGGAGGAATACTTGTGGGACAGTGTCTGATCATCTAAGTACTACCTGTCTTATCTGCTCATCTGCTCCTGAGCATTTTCCTAGCAGGGCTTTACAACTACAGTCAATTGTTGATGATCGGAAGCGGGGAGACAGCCATGAGTCCGGTGGCCCCCGGGGCCAAGATGCCAATCTGTTCTTTCCTCCCAGGCTACCAACGGCATCGTTCCTCTTAAAGAAATAAGCCCTGCACAGTCAATCCCCTGAGACCCACGGCAATCAATGCTGGCAGGGCCCCAAGAGTTCCAATAAATGATGTCATACAAGAATAGATGTATTCATGGGATGCTGGACCCGGTTTCCAGCAGGTGATGCTCCCCACCAATAGATGGAGCGCCACCAGGCAAAGCCTCAATTCCGGTGGTTCTCCTACCACCACTGTGATAGAGGCCTTGCACAAAGGCCTTTAAATTTAAAAAAAAAAAAAAAAAGTTGTTGAGTTTACTTTTCTGCATAACATTTTTTTTTTTCCCGTTTTTTTTTTTTTTTTTTTTTTTTTGCTGGGACCTTCCCTGGTGCTTGCACGGCCGAGCCGCCCGGGAAAACAGGGTGAGCCGGGCGGCCCGGCTGGTAGCCTAGGTTTTTTGCTAGCCTTTTTTTCCGGGCACCCAACTTATGCCCGGGTACACACCCGGGTGCCCGGCCGGGCATGACCCCCGGGCAGCCCCAGCGCCAACGGAAAAAATAACAAAATAAAAAAATTCCGGGAAAACAATATGTTGTGTAGAGCTGCACTACAAACGACTTTTGGCAGAGGGTCACATTAGAATTCCTCACAGAATCGGAGATAAAAAAGAAAATAATAGAATCACACCAAGGCACCCCCCTTTAAAGTTTAAACCCCTTTAGCCCCTTTAAAACCAATTTATACCCCCCTCCGGGGCGTGAGAATCTTCCTAGTTTTTTTTGTATTTTTCTTTTCTTTTTCTACTGGCTCGGCTGGGCAAGTTGCTCCGGGCCATTTTGGTAGCCTAGGGTCAGGTACGTTCAGGCAAGCGCTAGTGCAGCCGTATCGTACATGTGAGAAACAGTTAGATGGAGATCGTGTCATAGCTCAAATGTCTTTGATAAGTTTGATTGGATTTCCTTTTTTAACTGGATATTATTTGAAGGATTGCGTATGCCACCTCAGGGCACCGGAACGAGGAAGGCTTCCACTGTGTGTCTGGAGGTTTGCCAGCATCAGGACTCAGAAGCCAAAGTAATTGACAAGACAGCATGCCATCAACATTTTAGTCTAAGGTAGATTTCATAAGGATAGATGAGCTGCGTCTCCGTTCCACGCTCAAATTAGTTGTATGAAAGTCAACTGTGAGAATTCCATTATGTTGCTTTGTCCATTGCAGAGACTGTCGCTTCTGACTTGTTATATGAAGTAGATGAGCTGCCTCTCCGTTCCACGCTTCTTGCCTTTGGGATAACAAAGGATTTGTGTCCAACAATTTGGAGTGTTTTTTGTCAATCAGTTGCACCATCACACTGGAAGTCTGTTGCCCAATTTTAAGATCCTAGAAGCAGCTACTAAGTGATGTGGCACAAGCTCTCAGGGATGCATGCTGTAATCTGAGTGTAGTGCAATTGCGTAATCACAATTAAGTTGAATGAACGTGAATGTAGCCTTTCTAGAAACTCAACATTCCTATCGAGTTTCTTGAGGAGGATTCAAAGTTCAAACAGTGTCAAAAGTTTTACCAGGGCGAAGGACATTTATGTCCTGTGCATGTATTTGCTGGCAAATAGGGCTCAAACGTAACTTCACTGACGATGGAGCTTGTGCATCTTTTTCTGGCAGGTTCAATGATCAGGCGGAGAGGACAGATGTCATCGCCCGAGTTGTTCATGATGTTCTACAGTGGCTTCCCAGATTTGACTGTCTTGTTGTGGGGCCGGGATTGGGCAGGGACTCTCTTGTTATGGTAATTGCAACGGGTGTTGAAGCCTCTCCCCTGGCTGCCCCCACCCTATTCGTTCTCCATTACCCCAATCCCTCGTCATCCTTGCATGTATCTCTGTATTGATGATAGATAATGTGGGTTGTTATTTCTCATTTCGAAGTGGCAGCATGCCAGTCGTTGGGCAAACTTTGCTTGATAACTACTTCACACAAAGCCCATCCCAAGGGGATCGAGCTCATCACTTTCCACCCATAAAACTAACTCTTAACCACTAGGCTTAGTGCTGGAGTCAACTAGAATGTCTGGAAAACAAAGAGGCATGACGCTGTGAATGATCTTCTTCATGGACTGCACCATGAACTCCCTCCCTCCCCGTATCCCACACCCTATTCCTGTGACGTGCCAAGGTTACGACATGGAAGGGGTTGTAACCTTACTTTTCAACCATTTCTTTTATATTCCCCTTCGTTTAGGCTTCTGTTTAGGAGTTGTTTGCAATCTGAGCCCTTGGATTGGGGTGCACATGATTGTGCAAGTTGGTCGTCGGCAGGCACACCTTCTCTCAGAAGAGTGCACTAAGTAGTGCAATTGCGCCTGCCTCGGTGTTTGTGTGATTCTAACTTCCTTGTTCACAATTGTTGCTGATCCCTTGGTACTTTGGAAACTTGTAGTAACATGAGTTCACTGCATCACAAACTGTCCTCTCAAACACTGGTTTTGATTGCAGGATTCAGTGGAGAAGATCATCCAGCATGCTCGGGCACAAAATGTCCCCGTGGTCATTGATGGAGTGAGTTCCCATCAAACATATTCTTCTTCTTCTTTTTCTTACGTTGTCATCATTGTCATCTTCGTCTTCATCTTCGTCGTTGTTGTGGTCTTCTTCGTCATTGTGGTCTTCTTCGTCATTGTGTTCTTCTTCTTCTTCTTCTTCTTCTTCTTCTTCTTCTTCTTCTTCTGCTGCTGCTGCTGCTGCTGCTGCTGCTGCTGCTGCTGCTGCTGCTGCTGCTGCTGCTCCGCCTCCTCCTCCTCCTGCTCACGAAGAAGCTTCTACCAATCAAATATACGATCCTTTGTCCTTCTTCTTTTTCCCCGTAACATTTTTGTATCCCGAATCAACAGTTGTAATTGTCTAGTCTCTGTGACCCTTCACCCATTTGATAGATGCACCCTTGTCAGTTGTCACTGAACATGTCTTTTACTATGCGGACTTACAGGATGGTCTGTTCCTGGTGACCAACAAGCCTGAGCTGGTGCAAGGCTACCCTCTGGCAATTCTTACTCCTAATGTAAATGAGCATAGGCGACTTGTTGCAAAAGTGCTTGGCAACGGCAATGGACAGGATGTGGGCATCCCAGACATTCTAAGCGATAGCAATCCAAGTTCGCAATTGATACTTCTCGCTGAGAGGTTAGTATTACCCTGAAGTTCTGAGCCAGAGTTGTCTGGTTAAATTTCTTCATCCCGTCCCCTGTTCTCCACATGTCATAGAAATCTGTCTCTCTGCCCCCCTCCTCTTTTTCTTTTTGGAACCCCCAAGTACACCCTTCCATCATCTTCCTGTTGTCCCTCAGAATGAGTGTTGCAAATGCCTAAAAGTTTAAGAACTTGAAGTTGAAAGTGATCATTCTTTTCAAATTCTTGCCCTCTGTGATTTTGTGTAAGCTAAGTTCATCAGATTCTGTGCAAGGGTTGGTAAATTGACCCTTGTGATAATTGGCAGACTGGGTTGTCATTGTGGACAGCGATCTGTCTTTTTGATGTCTCTCAAGACCTTGGCATGTGTCAGCTCCTGACCCGGAAGCTGGGCCAATGACTTGGGTGCGCTGAAGTCTGTTCATGCATCCAGCTGATGATGTGAACCTCTGAATAGCGTGCTTGCATCTCTTTTTGCTGTGATGATGATCACTGAAGATGCCCATGTATCGAGCAGATGATGTTGGCCTTCATCCCTCCTCCTCGTGTGTGTGGAATCCGGGCTGAATGATCCTTGGTGCTCAGCTAGGGAAGCTGACTTCACAAACTGGTAGGAGAACAGGTTGCTGCCTTTCACATTGCTCTCCTGAGATACTTCTGGAGTTCTAGATTCCAGAATGATTGGTGACGGGCACATCATGTGTGCATGTGTTTCTGAAATGTTCTTCTGTACTTCTCTCGTACTGTGCCGGATTCCCCCCATACGACTTGTTAAGCATGAGAGGGGTTTGTCAGTGATGCTACCTATGAGCAGTGACGGTTTTTTTTTTTTTTTTTTTTTTTTTTTTTGAAATTCAGAACCTCTGGGTTCTGGCTCCTACCATTCTGGGGAGCAACAGTCCGGTTCCTATTCCCCCGGCAAGTCAGAAGGTATTTCATTGTTGACACACTCCACGCTCCTCCCCATTAAGGTTGAGAGGCCCGTGCGGGCGGCATTGATTACTTCCCTCGGGAAGGATGTACCGCCCCTCAGCCCTGCCTACGTTAGCCTGTTTGTAGCTAAGTTCTTGTGTAGCCTTTGTGAACCTGTTCTGCCCCTGGTTGCGTATTACTACATCATGTTCGACGAACTTTGCTCCTGAAGTGTATGCTTCCATATATGTAATAATTTCTAACCGTTACGAAACCACTGATGCACGGTTTTTGAGGAAACCGAACCAGTGACGGAACAATGATAAACAGAAATAAAATTCAAGTATTGAAATTATAACGTCCAATAATGTGTTGCTTAAAAGGTCAAAGAGAGACGGGTAGATGGGCCGTCCTTAAAACCAGGAAAGCATTAAAAAAATAAATAAATTGAAAATGCAATGAACCTCAATAATTCAACACCAGTGAGCGCACATATTCACACCTCATGCAATGAGATCACATGAAGTTCACACTGAAAACGAGAGAGATTAAGACCGGGTAACGCAGCTTATGAATTCCAACAAGTTATTACCATACTTGCAACCGCACAGCGCGCCGCACCGTCCGGCGCCTTACAGGGTCCGGTCCGGGACCTCCCCAACCTCCGTACAGGCCCATACCCGTACCGTACAGGACCGCACGGGGCCGCGCGCTGTCGGGTGCGGCCATACCCTTCCGGAATCTTGTTTTTTTTTTTCCCCATAATCACTGCAAGGTGGGTGCAGCAATCACCTTTCCTCTATCCGTACCCACACTCGACACACTAGGAAGACTGCTGCCGCCGTCAGTCGCCCTTGCCACATGGATCAGCACCTGCCTTAACCCCGCCTTCACGGACCCCATCTTCATGGCCATACCGCTTTATCAAAGCAGAACTATACACGTGGCTCATCATCGTGATCTGCACACAAAACCGCAGAAGAGAAGTCACGAACTCAGCCGTGTCCTGCGTCCACTCCGAAACACCCCCCCCCCACCCTCTTCCTTCTCCCCATGAAACCCCATGAAATCAGCCTTATTCCACCACCTCATACCCCCCCCAAAACCCCACGAAAATAGCACTTCACTGCTTTTGCAAAACATAAACGGGAAAAAAAAGCGATTAATTGCCTATCAGAAACGGAAACAATTGCTTTTCCAAATGTCCATGGAAAAAGAAGCGACGACGACAACATGACAAGGAGGATGAAATACAATCGGAGTTCGATTTTCAGAGTTTCATTAAAAAAAAAGAAACAAAGCGACGAGGGCGTGACAAGGAGAAGATGAGATGGAGGAGGAAGATTAGGAGATGGAGAAGGAGGATGAGGAGATGGAGGAGGAGGAGGAGAAGGAGGAGGTGAGGAGGAGAAGAAATGGACGAGGACAAGGACGACGAGGTGATAAGGAGGACGAAATGCCATCACAGTTCGAACTTAGAAGTTCCCAGTAAAAACAAAGAAAAAAGTGACGAAACCGTGATGAGGAGGATGAGAAGTGGAGGAGGATGGAGAGATGGAGGTGGAAAGATGGACGAGGAGGGATGGAGGAGGACAAGGAGACATGGAGGAGGAGGAGGAGGAAGACGACCGACGAGGAGATACCATCACAGTTCGAACTTTGAAGTGTCCATAAACAAAATAAAATGACGAGGCCGTGACAAGGAGGATGAGAGGTGGAGGAGGGGAGATGGAGAGATGGAGGAGAAGAGATGGAGAGATGGAGGAGGAAAGATGGACGAGGAGGGATGAAGGAGGAGGACGAGGAAAGATACACGACTAAGAGTAGAGGAGGTGATACCAACACAAATCGAAGTTCACACAAGAAAAGGTGACGAGACCTTGACAAGGAGGAGGCCGAGGAGGACAGGAGGAGGAGGGGAGAAGGAAAGATACACAAGGAGGGGAGGCTGATGAGAGGTGAAGGAGGAAGTGACGAGGAGGAGGCGGAGAAGATGAGGAGATAGTCCGAGATACTATCAAAGTTCCGAGTACACGATCTGATACTAGGGAAAAAAAAGGAAGGGACAATACCGAGACGAGGAGGAGGAGGAGATGTGCACTAATGGTTAATAGGTGGTGTCATTTTCGGCGAATTTTTCACCGAAACTCTAGGAAGATTCTCACGTCCGGCCGGTCCTGCCCGGCCGGGCACCCGGGCGTGACGCCCGGCGGGGTCTGACGCCCGGGGTAAACCGGGCGTGCAAATAAATAAAAAAAAAAAAGTTTTTTTTTTTGGTTTTCTGCGCTCTCCCAGAGGACTCCAAATCCGGGCTCATTTCGTTTTTTGTGAGTTGGCTGTCAAGGGGGGGGGGAAGGGGGGTATAAATTGTTTTTAAAGAGGGTAAAGGGGTCTAAAGGGGGGTGCCTTTGTGTGATTCTGTTATTTTCTTTTTTATCTCCGATTCTGTGCCGAATTATAATGTGACCCTCAGCCAAAAGTCGTTTGTATTTCAATCCTACACAACATATTTTTTTTCCGGAATTTTTTGAGTTTTTTTTTTTGTTTTTTTTTGGTGCTGGGGCTGCCCGGAACCCTGCCCGGGGGTCATGCCCGGCCAGGCACCCGGGCGTGTACCCGGGCAGAAGTTGAGTGCCTGGGCACCCGGGAAAACAGCCTAACCGAAACTGCCATATTTCTCTGAATTTTTTATTGTTTTCTTGTTTCTTTTTTTGTGTGATATCTATATGTGCAAGGAACATGAATATGGACGAAGCACAGAAATCCAGACTGCAAAATCACACTGAAGTCCAAGTAGTCAAAGCCAAAGCAGATAGCACATGGACCCGAGTAACCATCCCATTGAGAATGATACAGAAGAATCGTGAGTCAATGTCCATTCCCAATAGGGCAACACCAACAGCATAACCCAAATGTAGCTCTCTCTTGTGAATGGCGCAAGGCGCCCTATCTACTCTACAGCCTAGCCTACAACTACAGCAATGAAAGCAACCAGACAACTTGACTACCAGCGAGTGATGATGTCAACACTAATGCCGACCTCCACCTCCACCAGGTACGTGTCCTCTTCACCCACACTCTCCCTTGTACCCACACAGTGCCCTTCACCTCCGAAGAACCACCTTCGCCCTTCACACCTCTGCACCCTCTGCAGCCCGGCTATGGCCGCCAAGCGCCCTGTATGCAGGCAGCGCCCTACCGCCTAGCGCTAGCCTGCGTCCTCTCAGCCTTAGCGCAGCGCAGCATGCATGCAACGCAGCAGCGTGCCGGCCTTGCTCGCAATGGCCAAGATCCCTGCCCACTCGCCCTGCTTGCCTATATGCCAGTGCAGCGTGTGGGCGGCCTCCCTTCAGCCTGTGACAGGGGCCCAGAGGCTGAACCCAGCCCGATCCAGTTGGGCCCCGGGGCAATGCAGTTGTGCCTCCTTCATCAAGGCCTGCGTCCAGATACAGATAGTGGGCCGATTTCCCTTCGGCATTTTCGGCCTCTATACCCAGCATGCATTGTCGGCCTCACGTTCGAGTGCCCAGGGCCTAACTAACTCAGAGGCCCTGGGCTTTCAGCATTTGCTGAAATCCGAGACTCGGTGCACTCCAACCAACTGGCGTGCTGCAACTGTATGGACCCCACTTCATGAAATGTTGGCACAGAGGGCTCTTGTTGATTTGCTGGCCCGCCTTCACTTAGGGCGGGCACGAGGCTTGCTGGGGCCTTAGCCCAGAACATGTACATCATGGCAATGCCCCTACTTGAGGGCTTGTTCCTCACATATGCTTTAGGGTATATCTGTATTCAGTTTCAACGTATTTGCATTGTTTGTTTGCGAAATGTTTGAGGACATTGTTTGTGGTGATGCGGCGAAAAACCCCGAATTTTGGGCCTTCCATTAACCATCTCTCTCGGAGGAGGAGGAGGAGGGGGAGGAGGTGAGTTCGAGGGAGGGCAGGAGGGCAGGTGAAGACTCACCTTCGAGGAGGGTTGAAGCCGGCGATGGTCGCTCCAGAGCTCAGCCTCGGTGATGATGCAAATGCAGGGGGAGGTCGGCGCTGCTCGTAGCGGGGGACTGACGGCGCTGCTCGTAG